ATATATATATATATATATATATATATATACAGTATTTATATATTTATGAAGTCTTATTCTAATCTTGCTACTTGTTTTGTTTTTTTATGACATGCACTGCTGCCTGTTCTTGGCCAGGTCACCCTTGTGAAAGAGGTCTTGATCTCAGTGGGTTTTTATCTGGTTAAATAAAGGTTTAATAAAAATAATAAAAAATGATGCTGTTGGATCACCAGTGTTCTCTGAGGCTCACAGAACAGCTGGATTTATATTGCAATGAAATCCCACTCGGGTGGACTCTGTTTGCTTCCTAAGGCTACTCTGTGGCAAGCATTATTTTCACCCCTTTACTCTGTTCAGGGGTCAGAGTACAGGGGGCATTTAAATTTAATTACTTTTATTTAGCCTGTCAAATCCCATTGAAATCACAGATCTCTTTTGCAAGAGAGGCCTGGGTTTGAAGGCAGCCTAGCATGCATGTTTTTGGACTGTGGGAGGAAACCCACACAAACGCAAAGAGAACATGCAAACTTCACCTAGAAAGACCCCAGGTCCAAACAGAATGAACCCAAAAACTTCTTGCTGTGAGGAAACAGGGCTAACCACTAAGCCATCCATCGTGCTGCCAATTGCTGCCATGTATACTAATGGTTGCTACACTTTTCAGAACATTGGTGAAGATTCTCAGTCATCCAGAACATGGTAAATTCACAAAAGTTCAATACAAAAACAACTGGACTTTATTTGTAACAGAAGACATTTTGCTTCTCATCCATGAAGCTTTCTCACTTCAAAGAGCAGCGCGTGTGGGGTTCAGGTTATAAAGCTGAGATAAGATATATAAGATACATATGCAGATTGACCCATCACACCTCACAGTAGGGATTTGTTAAGGTCCTTGTTAATCTAATTCACAGATGTGGCCACTCTGGTCACATTTTGATAGGTGTGAAACTGGCTGGGTATCAGCCCTAAATAGGGTTGGGCATCGAGGATCGATAATTGATTGGAACCGGGACTAACTGTCCTTTTTTTCCAAAATCGTTAAAAATATATATTTTTGATTCCTACCTTCGATGCTTAGTCCGCCAACCGGAAGTAGAAGCCACCCGCCGA